TGATATAATCAATCCATGATTAAACAGAATTAGAATAGATAACATTTACTTAGATATGTCACAAAGGTGTCTGGCGTTCGTCGGTCTGTATGTAAACTTTTTTTTAAAACGCTACTCCTACAGTTCAGGCCTGGGGGCCATAAAACTTAGACGAGCTCACTTTTGATCTCGGTCTCACTTTTTCCAAAGGAATATATAGTGGAAAAGTGAGACTGAGATCAAAAGTGAGCTCGTCTAAGTTTTATGGCCCCCAAGCTTGGTCAGATTTCATTATAATTTGGAACACAAATAGACTACACCAAGATGCATAATTCTTTTTATCTGTGTCTGATTCCAATGAACGGTGTAAGTGTTGTTACTAAAAATAGAAATTTCTATGAAATACTTTTCAAACGTTTCTTCTCCTACAGTTTTGGTTTGTTTTCAATATCACTTGGCACACAAGTAACTGCACTAAGGTAAATAATTTTCTTTATCATCTTTTTGATTCCGATGACGTGTTGCCGTGGTTACTTAAATAAGACCTTTTGGTAAAATTCTTTGAAAAAAGCTACTCCGCCTACAGTTCTAATCTAATTTTAATATAACTTGGCAAACAAGTAGATTGACTTTGATTTCTATAAACGATATTATCTTGGTAACTATAAATAGAATTTGTTTTAGATGTTACTCTTCTTAGGTTTGATTTTAATATAACTTACCGAATTAGTACATAATTCCAATTCCATGTATCTGTTTTTGATTTCGATGAACGGTTTTCCCGTCGTAACTAGAAATAGGTTTAAAAAATTCTGTAAAATTCTTTCAAAAAACTACGCCACCTACCTATTCAGTCTGATTGCAATCTTTTCACAAAAAGTAACTAAGCCGAGGGTCATGGTTATGTTTATTTATCATACCCCCCGAAAACGAAGTTGGAGGTATACAGGAATCACCTTGTCCGTCTTTCTGTGTAAACGTGTCCGTTCCATATATTTCTTACGGAGGAATATTAGAATCTACTACTTCACTGAAAGATTGCTCATGACCTAAGAGTGTGTCATGACCTTGACCCGAGGCAATTTGTGCAAGTGCAAGGTCACTGAATGAAAAGGTTCATAATTCATGTTCCCCTTATCTTTCTTCTGGAAAAACTTAAATCTACTACTTCACATAAATATCGCTTATGACCTGAGGGTGTGTCATGACGTTGACTCAAGGTCACGTGTACAATTTCAAGGTCCAAAAAAAAAATCTACTACTTCACATAAATATTGCTTATGACCTGAGGGTGTACAATTTCAAGGTCCAAAAAAAAAATCTACTACTTCACATAAATATTGCTTATGACCTGAGGGTGTGTCATGACGTCGACTCAAGGTCACATGTGCAATTTCAAGGTCCACTGTAGCTCTCCGGTCTATCAAAATAATTTTTTCGGAGAGCTACAGTCCTGCAGCTAGTATCATACCTACTCAAAAAATATATTGGAAAAATATCCAAAATGCTTCTTCTAAATTCTGCATCAAGATAAGGTACATGTACAAAACATCAGGATGCACAATTTCCAGATGGTGTTAAGTTCCTAATCAAGATGCAACTTTTTCAATTTGTATACATGTGCATACAAACAGGAAGTATGCAGTCATCGAACAGCTGTCATTGCACTCTCACAAAAGATGTTTACGGTTATAAGTGTCCAAAAGGTTCTTGAAAAAGACATGAAATTAGATGATTTTTAAAGTTTGTTGTAATTTTTTAGCTCTACTGGTCAGAGACCAGAAGAGCTTATGCGATAGTAAGGTGTCCGTCGTCCGTCCGTCTGTCTGTAAACAATTTTTCAAAATGCTACTCCTCCTAAAGTTTTGGTCTAATTTCAGTATAACTTGGCACACAAGTAGACTACACTAAGATACATAAAATAGTGCATCGTGTTTAGATCTCGATGAAGGGTGTTGCCATGGTTACTAAAAATAGAATTTTCTGTGAAATTCCTTTAAAATGCTACTCCTCCTACAGTTTTGGTCTGATTTCAATATTACTTGGCACACAAGTAGACCACAGGTACTTGTGGACAGGATCCCCCCCCCCCCCGATATTCAACCTTGGGGCTTATTGGACTTTTTTTCAAAAATTATATTCTTTACACTTATTCATCATGTGTACAATATGAAAAAATCCTCAAAACCCCAAAACAACCGCTCCGCAAAAAATACCCCACTATACATTATATGGGAGAAAGGTATGCCACTCCGGTTTGTTTACGTTTTACCCCCACTGGTCTTTCTGGGTTTAAAACATGTATTTATTTTTTTCAACCTAAAATGTCGATTCACATCGTCTCTACATATATTTCTGTCTTAGTGCATGCTATCGGATTAACTCTGCATCTTGTAAGAATCCCACAATATCTAATTATCTCCTTAAACAGTTTTCCAGTCAGAACGTTGAAATTTCCATGGGTAATCGCAACGGAAGTGCATAGAGAATGTTTCACTTACTAGGATAACGTCTGAGAGAGTTTTGGACTGACGTAATAATCTCTCTCGGGTTTTATCATACATTCTCTATGCACTTCCGTTGCTTTTACTTAGGGAAATTTCAAACCGGAGTGGCATGCCTTTCTCCCTTGTAATGTATAGTGGGGTATTTTTTTGTTGAGCGACTGTTTTTAGGGTTTTGATGATTTTTCCATATTGTACACATGATGAATAAGTGTAATAAATATAATCTTGAATAATATGTCCAATAAGCGGGGGGGAGGGGGGGTCCTGTCCACAAGTACCTGTAAAGTAGACTACACTACGATACATAAAATAGTGCATCGGATTTTGATTTCGATGAACGGTGTTGCCATGGTTACTAAATATAGAATTTTCTGTGAAATTCCTTTAAAAGGCTACTTGTACTACAGTTTTCGTTTGAATTCAATATTACTTGGCACACAAGTAGACTACACTAAAATAGATAGAACAGTGCATCGGTTTTTGATTTCAATGAGCGATGTTGCCATGGTTACTAAAAATAGAATTTTCTGTGAAATTCCTTTAAAACGCTACTCCTTCTACAGTTTTGGTCTGATTTCAATATAACCTAACACAAGTAGACTACACTAAGATACATAGAATAGTGCATCGGTTTTTGATTTCGATGAACGGTGTTGCCATGGTTACTAAAAATAGAATTTTCTGTGAAATTCCTTGAAAACTTCCTACAGTTTTGGTCTGATTTCAATACAACTTGGCACACAAGTAGACTATACTAAGATACATAAAATAGTGCATCGGTTTTTGATTTCAATGAACAGTATTGCCATTGTTACTAGAAATGGAAATGTCTGTAAAATTCCTTTAAAAGGCTACTCCTTTTACAGTTTTGGTCTGATGGCAATGGTTTCTTTTCTCATCCCTTGTTTTAAGTACAAAGCAGTAGAGCTACAGTCTCGACAGAGACTTCTGGTTTTATTCCATAAGAGAAACTAAAGTCCTAGATTCAGAAAAATCTTTAATGTAAAAGCAGTATGAGCTACATTTTTTGAGAATTTTATTTTGCAATTAAAATGTGTTTTTATGATTAATTGTAAATAATTAAAACCATTATGATTAATAACACTATAATAGATTATTAAATTGTTTCAAAAGAAAGACATCTGTACAATCAAATATTTAATATTATTTAAGAAAACATTGCACAGGACAAAATATAATTTTGCGTCAATAAGAGCTTGTAAAATAGTTCTATTACAAATATGAACAACAGAAGTTTATAAAAGTTCTTTTTCTCTATTCTTGAAAAAGTTAAGACAATTTTGCAACAGAAAATTTCGACTTCAGAGGTGCAGCTCATATTATTTTAAAATTCCTTTGTACAAATTTCGGATGCTATTCATTTATACTGTTAATACAGTATTTTCAGGATACTGAGACTTGTGAAATTCTTAGAGGTGTTCAAAAACAAAGTTATTTTTTAACTACAAAAAACCTTGTATTATTAGGAAAGTGGTATGAAATGTTCGCAATTTTCAATAATTTTTGAAAATATTGTCATATAATCACTTAAAGACTCTTTATTTCTCAATACATTGCGTAATTTAAATAAACTTAGACTTTTCCTAAAAAGTACGAGTATGTTTTGTTTATGTGTATGAAAACTCAAAGACGAAGTTTTATTTTTACTAAAGTGATTTTTAGTTTGGGAAATAACTTATACTTGCTTATATATTCGTCCATAAGTGTTATTTCCCTTGTACTTGTTTAGATAGATAATATCGCAGTTGGTCTTTATTTTAGTGCACAGAGCTTGTGGGTCAGTCTCGACTGGACTTAAAGGCAACAAGCGTTTCCTTTTAAACATGGCAAAATGAGCAATTGAGTATCGTCCGGGCGACTGGTCATTTGAGGTCAATCTCACAAGCCCGCAGGCGATTGGTCGGCTGTTTGTCGACGGTGGAGGCGGCCTTGAATTGCGAGAGACTGCATAAACACATCTGTTGATGATTAAAGTGCGGTGTCCTTAGGTGACCGCTTGACCAGTCATAACGTTGTTGTATAGGCTCGACAAGTCAGTTATCTTTCCCCAGCATGCGTTTATTCGATAAAGACTACCTTTCTGTCATTGCCAATTGCCAGTGGACATTCAAAATCTGACAGTAATGACCAACGATGGCTTTTTGCCCATTTTTTGTTTTAAATTATAGGGAAAACAAAGAATTATCGATTTTCTGTATTATTTGTTATTGTTAAATTGAAATTGCTATAGCCTCTGTTCTGTCTTAGGATCAGGAAGTTTTTTTCTTTATTTGATCCAAAATTTATTTAACCTGTTGAATATTCTTTCTATATTAACGAGGTTATGTTTTCACTACAGTCCATCGTGCCTTATGTTTCGTCCAAATATATGACCGAAAGGTTATTGACCTGTGTATATGTAGATTTAAACACGATATGTCCGGTATATACAAACATCCCTTTTTTGATAGCACAAGCCAAATAGGATATTTCTAACTACCGGGAAAACGACACCAGCAGCTAAATTATAACCCTTCTGCAGTGCCTTCCGAGAAAAAAATACACTGCCCATGATGTAAATTCACGTAACGTTGCGCAAACCTTTCACCCCCTCACAAGAATAGACTATGCCGGTCGGCGGGGTCACTCGCATGTAACCCACATTACGACGACCACGCATCATTTGACCGCAGCATTCACGGAGATCTGACGACATCCAGCGGTTACTTTTTTAAACAAAAATGTGCTATCTTGTTGGAAAATCATTGCTTGACGCGGTACACTGAATATTCTTCGTTAACACTCTTTATACGTGGTCAGGAGTCGCTGACTTGTATACACACCATCCAGTTGTCGAGGAACTTTACTTCGCCATGTGTATGCCATATCGCTATAAACTTTATATGTTCTTTGACATTTAGATGTTTTGATATCTATTTTTTCCTTTACGTGTTAATCAGGTATGGTCAACAGCGTCCTACAAATTTCTTGATTGGGAGATTCTGAAGGTGTAAATGAATCGATAGATTCGTCTACCTATAACTTGGTCATTTGTTTGTTCTGATACGCTGTGTCGGTCAGTGGCTTTTCGTGACCTCACATAACCTTTGGTTTGTCGGTTCGCGACCCGATGGAGTAAAGTGAAAGACAGAAGGATAGAAGTCACGCAACGGATAAGTAAAAAAGCATTTAGCAGGTGCAGACCTATGCTTTCCCATGAATCTGCGCAAACTGTCCGCCATCTTTGTTTATAGTCTTTGTCCAGATATAGAAAACCCGTGAGGATCACCGCTTTAATGAACCTACCAACATCATGTCACGGCGAAAACAAGGCCGGCCACAACAGAGAAAGACTCTGGAAACACGTGAGTAAATTTACTTTTGATTTACAGAAACTTTTCTGTCATGAATATGTTTTCTTTTGATAATAAACAGGCATGGGGACAGTTAATGTCCACTTTCTGGCAAACTTACATATATAATTTTAAAACGATACAGGCAGAAGAAAATTAGTTTATTTGGGGCAAAAAAGGAGATTTAAATGTTAACTTTTTATTTTAAATAAATAATTTGTCATAGACAGTTGGTCAATATTGTCCGCAACAAAGTGAAATAATTTTGGACAAGCCGGAAGAACCAAGCATCTCCAATATTTTAAGATTAACACTTTTCAGTTTTTAACTACAGATAAAAAGATGTCAATACATTGAAATTAGATTGTTTAGGAATATGATTGTACAGTGTTAAAATTCACCAGGTTAAAAATAGCTTGTAAACAAAGTGAAACTAAATCCTCGTGGATCTGTTTGTCATTGGAAGCAAGGTAAAATAGGTGGATAAGGTGTTTGCATGTACCAAAATTTAATAATAATTTTGAGGCAAAATATTTGGAAAGTGTTAGAGCTTGAACACCTAATGAAGCAAGCATCATATTCTTCATGAAAATGATCGTTTAGCCAATGAAAATTCTGAATGGGGGTGAAACTAACGGTTTGCGACAACAGGTACTATGTGTTCGATCCGAGTCAACATCTTATGAATTTGGATTTATAAATAAGAGAGGGATTATTTTAAAAGTATATTACTGAGTGAGTAAATTAAAAATAGTTTATTATTTTATTTTTTTAGAATAAATAAAAATGTAATGATAAACAAATTGAATATAGTTAAGATACTTTTTCTTGTCAAAAGAACTTAAGAGACATGAGAAAATTAATTTTTTTAAGGGAAAAAATTATTAAGTTATTTAAAATTATTTGATCAGTAGTTATAATGTAAATGATTATATTACTTATTTATTACATGTAGTTTATAAATTTGTGTAATAACATTTTTTCAATATTTTTTTATAAGTCATGACAGTTTTTTTCCCGATACATGTATTTTGTTAACTGAGGCTTATTTTTTTCGTAAGTTTTAATAATTTTTTAAAATAAATTTATTTATTTGATGATTATTTATTTATTGATAATTTTTATTGGTATGAGAATTTAAAAAAAAAAAAAATAAGTGTTGTCTTGTAAATATAGAATTATATAGTGTAATTCTTGTAATGATGAAATATAAAGTCCTCTTCTTGATAGCAGCGGTGAGTGGTTAAGTCGTCCATACGACCACTGTTGGTGCACTTAACCTCATTTCAAGGAACAAAGACTAAAAATTCTGAAGTTGTTGATGTGTGCGAAAATCCCTCGATGCAGTGTATGTTTGCATGTGTTTGATGTCTATATATTTACAGTGATAATTTTCTTGTTAAATGTTGTGCAAAGACACGGTTGCCTAGAATTTTTAAATCTATCTGGTTGCTCAGGTGCAATAAATTTGAGGGGAAAAAATTACAGACTGATCAATAAAACTTGACTCGAAGGACACACAACTTTTTTGAAAGGTCATTCAAGGCCATGATATGTCTGAAAGGTTCAATGAGGGTTGCAGATAAATATGTTAAAAGTCTTGTTGGGATTATTTGGGTAATTTTCAGGATTTTTTTCTTTTGTTTTTTTTTTAATATACTTTTTTTCAATTATTTTATTTTAATATTTCAAATTCTTTATAACATTTCAAAAGTAATGTGATATTTTTTTTCTAATCGGAAAAGGACGATGAATTTAGAATGACTTTATAGATAACATTTATTTTAAAAGTACGAATAAGTTTTTGATTTCAAAATGGTGAAACTAAATTACTTTTACTTTCGTTTTGCTTAATATTAACCCTTACTGAGCCCCTCTTTTTGCAGTACTGTGCAGCCAGTGCGCACGGATTGGTCAATATTATCTATCTGTAAAATATCCACAACCCTGACACATTTTTTAAAGCGCAATATGCATTTACCTAGACTGCATGCGCTGAGTTGGGTTGACATTAAACTGGGGGGTTGCTTGGTATTTAACCCCTTTGGGTGGAATTCCAGACGTGGTTAGACAATCCAGTATTACACAATTTAACATGTCGACATAGTATTACATCTACTCAGAAGGCCAGTTCATAGATTAAACATTTTCCAGATAAAACACAATAGCCAAACACGAGTTGTTTACTTTGGTTTGAGTTGAAAGAAATACAACAGAGTCTACTTCGTCTGAATAAAGCGCATAGAATACAGGGACATCTAAAAAAAAATCACGAAGACGAAAATAAGGTTAAAAGTTAAGTGCATTTTCAACTCTTGTATGCAGTATCTTTTTGTTATCGGAGTGGATAATATTTCTTACATCTTCAAATGTTAGCCAACTCGTTCAGCAGGGGCTTAAATGGTTTTGACATACGGGTTAACGAAATGGTGTGTATTATGTGGAATTGGCTAAGAATGTTTTTTGGCTGTTAGAGCATTTCTTGGCAGGGGTTACACCGATTATATTGCTCTGGTAGAAATTTGGTTTCTATTTTGAGTTTTGTACTGTCTGCTTCAACTTGAGATCAGAAGTTCTGCAACTGTTTGTTCCTTTAGGTATTGGGCTCTCCCTTTACTGATTACGGTTGTTCGAGAAATGCAATCAAGTAAGAGAGGGGAGAAGGCTATGTACCAAAAATCACGTGATTATAATAACCAGATTCAAGTACTCACACTATGAGAGATGGATAAGCAAACTCACAAATACACGGTTGTTGTAGATGGTTGCAGGAACAAAATTTTAGCTCCCTAAAGTCAAATTGTTTATGGTCATTTTGGTCCACAGCACCTCAACATTTTTATGTACTGTAGGACTAATAACACTTTAAATATGAACGAGACAGGGGCAAGTTTAAGGAAAGACCAAACAACTTTCAGCGGAACTCTTGAAATAATAAATTACTAAAACCTTTCATCAGAGTTAAACATCGGTATTTTTGCCGCTGTTCATTAATGAATCTTGTAGGTGTAGATATATATTATTGACTTCATTTTTATATTTTTTGTTATTATTTTGCATAACAATTATCATGTATTTTAAGGAGAAGAACTAGAAGGTTGAAAGAACTTGTTTGTTAACAGTTATCCTTTTGATTGTCAATACAATATGTTCAAAACATAAATTACTTTTGTTAAAAATCCAAGAAAAAGGACTTGTACACACATAGTAAAGCAGATAAAAGTAGAAAATGAAGTTTTAATATTCTGGGGGAAAATGGAGGGCTTCTTATAATATTTTCAAATCCCCACCTCTTTTCAAAGCCTGGATCCTCCCTATATTCCATTGTGCATACTACCATAGTTTCCATGAGGTCGTAGTGCACTACGTTAGTTAGCTTGTTACCTAGGAAACGACTATATCCTGTGGACAACATTTTTATTTTATTTACGCGAGAATTATGTGCAAGGTTTGTAGTTCAGTAGATTTTTTTTTTTTTGGTTATCAGTTATAATCCAGTTATATTGCTATACTGTATTTTTTTTTTTTGTTTCTTATCGTAAAAATAAATTATATCAATTGAATAAAGTTAGCTATTTTTATAAATGAATAAATAAATATTAAATGCATAGAAGTGATTTGCAGCAACCACATAAAAATAATCAAAAGGAAGGAGAGAGGCATTCAAAAAGAATTTTTATTTTATATTCATTTCATATTTATTTTGATGCATTTACATGCACTAAGAATTTATATGTGCATAGTATTGAAAATTATTTCCATGAAATTGTCGATCTTTCCTTAAAAATTGTTTTTGAAAGAGTTTGAATATGTATGCATAAAAATCATTTCTTATTGAAATGCTTTACCATCAAAATTGACCATAAAAAAGAATTTAAAAAGCAAGTATATAAAGATGTTCTAGCACGTTAAAATATAAAGTGAGTTAATTAAATGTAATTTGCAACTTGCAATGATTATTTTTCATATATATATATACTGGTCACTCTTGTCTTGACAAGGAAATGCAAGATCCTCACTAAATGTGATTGATCTTCATGATGACGCCTAAGCTCACAAGAATTTTGTTAATCATTAATCAACATAAAATTTAAATAATTCAGAATATAGTGTCCTAAATGAGATCGGTTTTCAGCCAGTATGCAAATTGCACTGTCCTTGTTTAGACTCTCTGAAACTATCAATCATATATTGAATAATTTCGACATCAGATATTTCCAATCTGCCCTGCGAAGTTAAAAAAAAAAGCTGACACTATCGATACGTTCAGGTGATTCCAATACATTATAATGGAAAAAGGAATCTCCTTAGATGTTGAAGATGAGTAAAATTTCTCATTAAAATTAATGCAACTTTCCTATGATCGACAATCGATTGCTTTCTGATCGGTTTTATTCAAACAATGGTTGATTAATGAATAAATCTGATTGATTGTCCCTCATAATTTGGTTTTATGATTTTTAAGTTTCGCGGAAAATCTCTCTGTGAAGTAGGTAAATATTCAAATTGTTAAAAACTGTGGTATTTTAAATGTTTCAGACAATTATTCATTGATTACTTTTTGACATTTCTTTCAATATTTGTATTACGTGCTGAGAAGAGTATTTCACCTTTTTTCAAGCAACTAATGGACAGTAGGGATGAAAAAAAAATGACCGGAGACTTCCGTTTAAAATACGCAACGAGTATTGACTTTTTGAATTATATATTGGCCTAAATTAAAGATTACATATTTACTTCAAGAACGCACGTAGTAATTTAAGTCGCTAAAAACACAGGGCACTAGGTACCGGGGAGCGAGTGACCTTTATTATTGTATAGGACAACAGGTATTTGCGTGGTTATAACTGTGGCGCGGCCCGCTGTTGTGTTAATCAAGGTTGCATGTCCGGTCCGACGAATCTCAAAGCCAAGTATACAGAACTAAATTCAGGCTTTTGTGAAAACCGCACAAATGTCAAGACTTTTTTTGAAGTCTTGCCAATGGTGTATATCCGCGTCTTATGGTTTTT